AACCTCTTTTTTGTCCCGGCCCAGTATAGTTCAAAGTCATCAGGGTGAAGTGAAATCAAAGCCTGTGCCCATGTGATACTGAGTTTAATTCGCGAACTTTGTAACAGTATATGGTCGGATTACTCTTGTTAAGCAGTTCGTTACAGCAGCAGCAGCAGCAGCATGGTTCCCCGTTGCATTTTGGTTCTCAACAGCAGCAGCTCCAGCAGCAGCAGCATAATTCCCCGTTGCATTTTTAACACCAGCAGCACCAGCATGGTTTTCTGTTGGGTTTACAGCAGCATTCTCAACATCAGCAGCAGGCTGGGCTCTGTGATACAGATACCCAGCTGCAAAGGCCAACACTCCTGCAAAAATCATTATTTTTTTGTGGAAATGCTGACACAAAACTGGTATTTTATTTGCCCTTACTCTGCTGACTAAAAATAAACTCGTTAAATTCTTCCCATCCAAGTAACTAATTAATAAGCAGTATTAACACCCGAAAACTTAATTCCAAAAGTAGTTGAGCTCTCATTTCCTTAGCTTCTCCTCTCCTCCGTTGCATTTTGGTTCTCAACAGCAGCAGCATGGCACCGCGGTGCTGTTTCTTTGCGTGTTACTAGCAATATTATTTTCATGAATGATTTCGTGTCCAAATAAACTATTTGTCTTTGAAAATACGTACCGTACTGTATTCTATTATTTACTACATATAATTATCTAAGCCTTGGTACAGTACTTTGAACTTGAGGTTAAGCATTTTAAGATCTTTAGAGTATTAAATATATCGTACCGATGGACACACCACAAGTTTTTTAAGAAGATTTGTAAGGAATTAGTTTCAGTCCAATTGAAGGGGGGGGGCGCCAAAACAGGTGTTTGCCCCGGGTGCTGAATAGCCTAGTTACGTCCCTATGTACAACCAGCTGGTAATTCTTTTATCGAACACCATTAGCGATACAAACGGTCAGAGAACTGTGATGGTGGTGTAGTGGTTACAGTACTTGACTGTTAGTCTGTAGGTGCGAGTTCGAATCCCACCCGCAGCGCTAACTTTTTGACAAAAATTTTGCTTAGAATGTGATTTATTCTTTACTCTAGGCTATTTTTTTTTTTTTTACTTGAGGCATTTATAATTTTATTTTATGAACAGAGTTATTTGTTATTAACTTTGTTTTTTTAATAATTTCCCAAACAGACTGTTGAAGGTAAGTTAGGTTAGGTTTTCTTTAAAGCTAAGTTACTTAAGTTAATCGATTCGTCAAATTATATAAACTAACTTAACTTAAACCAGTGAAACCTATCAACTTACTTGTTGACTACTAAGGTTTAATGTTATGCAATAGTGTGTAGTGTTGCAGATTAGCAAGTACAGTATAGATAAATTGGTGGTAGGCCAGGCCTTGTATTTTTGTTAAACGACATCCCTACATCTCATACTTATTAATTACACCACGAAGCATATATGCATAAGTTTAATTTAATTGGTTATTCATTTTGATCTAAGTTAAACAGATATGCTAAGTCCTTTCTTATTGTGTGGTCTATATAGCTTAAAAACTTACCTCTAACTTAAACCAAAGCCACAACGATTTAAGTTAGTAAAATCAACATTGTATTTTCAGGTCTAAAAAGGCCTAGGCCTAGAAAGTTACTTATTTAACAATAATTGTTTTCAACGTGTACGCAACGATTAGCCTAATCCATCGGCAGGAATTTCACTAAGTAATGTAGTATGCCACAAAGGACAGATTGTTATTAATTTTGTAGTAGCCTGTATTACAAACAGCTATGAAGAGTATTATTGTTATATTTATTATTATAAACTTACCTCTTGTATGAAGAATTTTCCTGTATTCTAGAAGTAGTATAATGGCAGTATTACTCTACAATTCAACATTCAAACAAAAACCGATGTATGCACAACAGCTGTGCCAGCAATTGTTAAAGCGGGTTAGCCACTGGGATCGTAGAAGAATCTTCATCTGTTTGCCAGCATTGTTGCCGGGCTAGTTACTGGGATCGCGGAACAACATAACCGTGTCGTCATCATTGATTTTAAAATTGTTCGTGGTGTAGTGGATAGCGTACTCGGTTGATAAACGCGAGGTTCCTGTATCCTGTAGGCATCGTTAACTTTTTATCAATGATTTTGCTTATACTTAATGCGATTTATTCATAACCATACATCTTTTGTTAAAATTTGGTATATTAAAAATTTTATTTTTACTTTCTCCCCCTATACCATAGTATATGGAGAAAGTATTGTTTTCGTCAAAATTTTCGAGTTTGAGTTTTGAGTGGATATATTCGTTTTGGGTCCCCCTGGACCCAAAAAAGTGGTTTTCGAAGTGATGTCTGTGTGTGTGTGTGTGTGTGTGTGTGTGTGTGTGTGTGTGTGTCTGGATGTGTACAGAGCTAGGGACTACACCTGTGGTCCGATTTCGATGAAATTTGGTATGTAGGTTCTAATTCATGGTATCTCCAGGCGTTTTTTTCATTTTTTTGAAATTTTGATTTTTAATGGGGATTTTCCCATAAAAACCCATAAAAAACAGGAAAAATCGGATTTTCTCAAAAATGGCCCGAACGATTTTAATAAAAATTTAGTATGTTGTAGCCCTTTAAATTCAGAACAAAATGGTACAAATCCCATTTCTGTAAAAATTACGGTTCAAAAGTTATGGTCAATTATGTTATTTTCCCATTAAAAACCCCATAAAATAAAAAAAATAGGATTTTAGACAAAAATCCGGTTTTGAATTAACATAGTATGTTATGATCCTTACAACATTCATTTATTTTTTTTATTTTTTAGAAATTTTGATTTTTCATGGGGATTTTCCCATAAAACCCCATAAAATAACGGAAAAATAGGATTTTCCCAAAAATGGTACAAGTCCCATTTCTGTAAAAATTACTGTTCAAAAGTTATTGTAGATTATGTTATTTTCCCATAAAACCCCATAAAATAACGGGAAATCGGATTTTCACAAAAATTGCCCGAACGATTTTGATAAAAAAATTTTCTGTTAAAATCCTTTAAATTATGATCAAAATTGTACTAATCCCATTTCCGTATATTTACTCTCACCACTTGTGATAAAGGTTTTTGACAAACTTATGGGAGAAAGTATGTGTCAGAATGCTGATACCGTTTATTTGATGAGAATTAATTTGATTATCAGTACATTAACTTTGTGTCAGAGAAAACCTTACTTTTCCTGGTAGCTGAAACCAGTGAAAGCTATCAACTTACCTGCAGACTACTATGATCATGTTTCAAAAACAGTTTATTACAGATAAAATAGGTGAAGCCTAGTATTTTTGTTAAGCGAAGACGTTGTTACATTTTCCCACGCATTTAAAAACTTAGCATATAGGCCTAATAATTTAATAGGTTATTTATTTCCGTCCAAGCGCACACAGCAATAAATCTGTTAAATCTGTTCTCATCTTATGGCCTATGTAAGTGACAACTTCTCAAACTTGAATATAAACCAAAGCCGTTGTGATTTAATTTTGTAAAATTATTATTTTGTATTTTTTAGATATTTATTATAGGTGTATACAGCATGTTTTTAGTAAGAAAGAAGACATAGACGCCAAACTGTTTACTCCATGAATAAAAGAGCTTTTAGTAAAAGTCGTTCTCTCTGTCATAGAATAAACAGCAAAATTGTTGGTCGCAAAACGTAAACAAATAAAAAGAAGAAGGTAGCTTCTAATTTTATTCTTATGGGACGAATTTAAACAAGTTTTTTAAGGGTTTTATAATTACGATTGATTGGAATCGTCTAGAATTTTAATAGGGTCTTCCCGCTGGTGTCATAATTATTTGTGCAAAATTTGAACGCTATAAGTGCGACGGTTCTTGAGTTTTTGGTGCAAACACACACACACGCAGACAATCGGACAACTTTCCTCCGACTCCGCTATACACGATACATAGATTCGTTCACTTCGTAATAAATCAAATTGTATGACATCTAAGCCACCCTTCCTTTTTTATGACATTACACAAGCTTTTTATGGGATGAAGTGTCAGAAATCACCTCAGATAAAGAAATAACTAAGTTAAATTAATTGCTTGGCAATTAACGGTTACACCGTCATTCAAAAATTCATCCCACCAGATAACCACAAACTATAGTACACAACTAGTAGCTTTCCTAAAATTTGTTCAAAACTTCTTTTTGTCCCGACCCCAGTACAGTTCAAAGTCATCAGGGCCAAGTGAAATCAAAGCCTGTGCCCATGTGATACTTAGTTTAATTCGCGAACTTTGTAACAGTATATGGTCGGATTATTCTTGTTAAATAGTTCGTTAAGTAGTCGTTCGTGGGCTTGAGTAATTTAACCCAGGTTTGACATAGTTACCGTTATAACATTTGACTAATATTACTTGGCCTAGGCCTATCACAAAACTCAGAACAAAATGTCTTAGGATACTATTTACCTTCACATCGAATTGTTTTTGCGGTTATTATAACAATAACGTATCAAAATATAATTAAAAATAACCTTTTAACTGAACATAACTGACAATCGATTATATGGAGTAAATACATTAATGAAATTCATACCACCCTACCATTATTGACAAGCTATTATGGGTTGAAGTATCCGAACTCCTTGCATTGCTTGCATTAATTAAGTAATGCTTGGTTTCTGTAATGACAACTAATTTTCTGCTCATGATCATCAGCTCCATAGGGAATAAACATTAATTAAATAATTCAAAACACAGGAAACAGCACGAAGAGGACATAGCTTCGAGCAAGGCTGTTATAATGTCGGCTTTGATTCCACCATGAACATACGTTATTATAATTAAATTTTCGTGTTTTTAAGCTGAATGAAAAAAATAATAAAAGCTTTATGTCATAATAAATATTCCTTGGAGCCTAAGTTTTAAGCGATTCACTTCACCAGATTAAATGTAACGTTTTCAGGTACAGTATACTAGCAAAACAGTTTCCCTATGCAAGCTCCATTAACAATTTTTACATTTCCAGTCGGGTGCTTTCGACGGTCTTAACCACATTGGCAGCCTGAACGTGTACAACAACAAGATCGATTCAATTCAAGAATTCCACATCAAACCGAACAACAAAGTTAAGATCATCCGCTTCCATGGAAACCACTTACTGGAGTCTCCAAGGGTAATTATATAAAGCATGATTATTTTTTAACAAATATTTTATTTACGATCTGTTCTATACTAAAACAATAATAAGTAAATGTCAAAGACAATTTAAAATGAGTTAATTGCACTCCAACGAGTGCACTAACATACAAAACAAAACATTTTATAAAAGAATTAAACTTAAAACGATTTGGAAGATCGATTGGATGTATTTTTCTGAGCCTATAAGCAGCTTCGCTATAAAAAAGGAGGTTAACTGCCAGGAAATTTGAATGATTTTGTAATTCTCTTTGATATTTTTCGCTTGGTTTTTTTATTTCTTCTCTAACAAAGGCAATTTCGTATCTTGATGAATAACTTTATTAAAAACATACCAGGTGCTTGTAAAATTAGTCTTAGTGTTTTGGATTGAAATCTTTGAATTATTTCTATATTTGAGTTTGAAGTTGTTCCCTAGAGCTAGATACCGTAGTCCAAACAGATTTTAATATGTTGTATAAAAGTAATTTGATTTCAATTAATAATTTTAAATTTCGACCGATAAGCCAATCTAGATGGATTGTGGAAGCATGGCATTATTCAACGTTACTGGGGGACAAGTTCTTGTTGACATAATAAATGTAACGTGAATGGACTTTGTTTCTTTTACTTTAATTTTCTAATTTTGTAGCCACTGAAACAAGTCGTCTAATGCAACCTGTAAGTTTGATGATGCCAAAATATGATCCTAATTTGATGACAAAAACAGTATCGTCTGCAAACGTTGCGACTGTAATATCCTGAGTTCTTTGAAGATCGTAAGTGAAAAAAATATAAAATAGGCCTAATTGCACTGCCTTGCGGAATGTTCATTGAAAATAGATTTCTATTCTGTTTTTTCGCTTAAATTTGAACGGATTTTGAAGTACCTACTCTATTTGGCAAACATGATCAAAAACATGTTTTGAGCTGTCCAGAGTGCCGCAAATGCTAAGGGATTTCTATCGTTTAATTATTACTTAAGTACTAGACCTAGTCAGGCCTATTACTAGGCTACAAAAAAAATTGATTTGATACCAAAAACATGTGTAAGGAAGGAATTCGGTACAGATGTTGGGCGTATATTTGTATTGAACATAACAAATGTCCCCTGAAATTGAAGCTGTGCTACGACCGCAATCTTGTAAAATAGAATATTTCTGTACTTTTACCTTTAGTAACTTTATTGTTAGCGATAAATAAAAATGCTTCAAATAAAAAAATGTACCATTTATAAAAATAAACCTTTTATTATTATTTTTTTTAAGTTTTGATTAAACCCAAAGGTATTGGAACTACCAGTGATTAAGTATGATTGATTTTTTTACAAATATTATAAGAATAATGTATCTTTTCTTGCCTTTTCTCATAGAAACTTCATCAGAAGGGAATGGCGGAGTAGGTGCAAATTCATACTTGAAACATTCTTTCAGGTCTTTTCTCCTTTGATAAAATTAAATTGAACAACTGTTCTCAATTGAAGTTAGACCCTTTTCAAGTGCATCATTTAATTCGGCAAAATGTTTTTGAAGCTTTGCAACATGGGTAGCTATGTCCTCATTAGGATCCCGATCCCACCTAAAAAACTCTTCTAGCAAATGATCTAGCCTTTGTTCACTAGACTGTTCATACACAGATATTAAACAATCCCAAACTTCTTTAGAAGTCGAGCAAGTCAAAACCAGTGTAGATGGTTCATCGCCTAGGGATGACATAAGGTATAACATAGCAGAAGCATCTTTTCTGTCCCAATCTGCAATAGCATTTTGCTCAGATCCAGAGATATTAGTAATAGGTCTTACTTCAGATCCCATTATGAAACTCAACTTGTTGTCTTAACAACAACTGGATAAGCATCTTCCATTTAGTCTAATTACTTGCACCCAAAAGTTTCTCTATACATATCTTTTCATTTGAATTTGCCATAATGTCTAACCAATTTTATACTTGTTCCAAGAAAAAAGTCAACAGTTACAATGGCAAAACAATGAAGAAAAATATTATATAGCTTCATTAAAAGTAATTAAAAAAAATACCTTGTTTGTAGAATAGTCCATAACCTATTGATACTTACTTGTCCAAGGCATTCTTTCTCTTGATTACTTATAAGAATAAACTTTTAAATTAATGAGAAACAAATTATATTAAAGAAAGGAATTCACACTTTTATTTTGATCACACACACATAAACATGAACACAGCTCAATATAAAAAGTAAAACATATGATATTGAAACAATGTACATTAAAACAGTTCAGGGGCAAAATTGTCAATGTTCCAATAGTTACTAGCTCGGTAAGTGGTGTTATACCGTGCGACAATGTTAAAGCATACCGGGTGAGTAACGTATGATACTTTTACATCATAATACACAGAATAATTAATAAATTTTAAACGCATACTACAATTTATTTAAGACATAACCTAAATTATAATATTATTACAGAAAATAACATAGGCCGTTGCAGTTAGGTGTTTATTTCATCATCTGACTACGTGCACAGACAAAAGTTTTTTACGTTACAATTACACATAACGTTACTTTTCCGTGTTTAGGCACGGTGCAGGGCAACTTTCCAGCCTATCAATACGCATGGAAAAGTACCTGTTTCGTGAAGTATGATGTAATAGTAGTTTACGCAACGATTGCGTTAAGTGAGTCTTTACGACACGAGTAGAAAATTTGCCTTAAAAACTTCTACGAGTGTCGTAAAGACTATTAACGCGAGTTGCGTACACTACTTTACCTACGACCGTTTTTTATTCCCTATCAATCTGGATTTAATTACTAACAATCACTAATGATAACTTTTTAGAGAGGTTATGTTTTCGTGTATTATCATTGCCACTGAAAGTGATGCAACGACTTGTTGTATAATCAGCTGATTTCTTGTAATTACGTGTTTGTTAAACTTCGTTAAATATTACATTGCTAGCAGCATTCTTACCATAAATAATATTGTATCAGGTACAATTCGGCAAATATTTGATTTATTTTTAGACTTCCACCAACTTAATTAAGAATACGCGAGTATCAACATGAACAAGTCGTATCAACAATTAAATTGGTCAACTGATCAGCTGATTAGTTGACGTTCGAAGCATTGCAATTTTAATTCTTTTCTCTCAATACTTGAACCTCATTGGTCCGTTACCTGTGTGGATATGAGAAAACTATGCGGATATGAAATGAAACTATGCGGATATGAAAGTAAACAGCTGTAAAGTGAAACTTTTCAATTCTAAGAACTGGACTGAAATGGCTACTTTAAAAAATGGTCGTAGGTAAAGAGTATTTATTCAATTCTCTTCAATCAAGAAGGGCAATGAAATTTATGTCAATTTACAACAGTTGTTTAATTGAATGTAATTAAAGCAGCAATAGCCTAAAAGAATGCTTCAAGTATGAGTTGCACCTACTCCACCATTCATTTTTGATGAAGTTTATAATAATTTGGATTAAAAAAAAATATTTGCCATCCTTAATCGCAAAAGACTTAAAATCTGTTGGCTTTAGAGAAATGTTGATGGTTACTAAGAGTTTGTCCTTTTTAGTCGGCAACATTTTGTTATTTGAAACTTTTTTCCGTATCCCTAATAATAAAGCGATTATACGCAAAAAATACAGATATACGCTACCAAATTTACAAGATGGTGGCAGTAGCATAGTTTCAATTTTAAGGGACTTTAAGTATGCTCAAACGGAAGATACACCTAACATATGTGTCAAATTTCTTGCTTGTAATGTTTTTAGTTTAACGGAATTTTTTTACTTATTTTTACTGTACTACATACAGTATGTCAAATTGCTTAGATTTTAAAATCCCTAAAAGCTTTGTTTATTGAATGAATATCTCCATATTTCCATTTCTGAAATACTGTTTTCATTGTGAATGTTAACTGATAAAATATTATCATCCTCTATATCCTATTATCCTCTACATCACCAATTTTGTTTCCAGGGGGGAGCAATCTCTATAGAGGGGGTGGAGACACTGAGTGTAACAGCCAACCACTTCCCCTGTGACTGTCACATCCACTCCCTGCTGGACGGCCCCTTCGGCAACTCCACAGCAGGAGACTTCAGGACCAAGAACTTCTGCATCTCTCCACTGGAGGTCAATGGCAAAGCCATCGCCGAGTTGGACGTCGAGTCTATTGCTCGATGTCAAGAAGAAGTAACCAGAGGAAACTGGGACGCTCCTTCTAGAGCAACGTCGTTGCCCACTTTGGTGTCCGTCTGTCTAACAGTGTTAGTGGCTTGTGGTGTCAGCTGACTGAGTGCAGTTTTGGCGGGAACATAGTAATAGTGGAGGGTAAATTCAAGGAATTACCTAGTAACTAGTTTGAGAGTGTACATTTTAGAAAATGAAGGATTATAAGGATTTTTGTTGATAGGTTTAGAACTCGTAACTGTGTAAAAATTTAGCGGCCTGTGGGATCAGCTGACTAAAAGTTTTGGCAAACATAGTAGTAGTGGAGAGGGTTTCAAGGTACTACCAAAAAACTACTTTTTAACAGTGTTAATTTTAGGAAATAAAGTGTTATAATGATTTTTGTTGACAGGTGTGGACCTGGGTCTGTGTATGTATCTAGTAATTAGAAAGTGTTTAAGTGCAATCAAGGTATTTAAGAAACTAATTGCGATTTTGATATTGACTACATTGAGAAAATCATAGTGTGGGCCCATATTTAATATTTATCGCCTTTAAAAATCCAAGATCTGCACAATAAAATCAATTATTGTATTTCAACAACAAATGTTTGTTACCCTGGTAACTATAATCATTATTTGATCTAATAACGATTTCAGTGTCGAATGCGGTGGACAAAAACCTAAAGTTTATATTTTGGCTGTAATGTATAGGTGAAATTGGCCTGAGGTATACCAATGAATAGCAAATATAATTAAGTCCAACTTTAGATGCCAGGAACAACTTTCTTAAAAATGGAAGCATGATAAAATAATGAAACATACGGGTCTAAAATATAGAAAATATGCAAATCTTAAATGCTATGGATTGGAAAAGAGTTCTTAAAGTACTCATCAGGCAGCATAGAAAGGTAATCTTGAAATTTCTTAATGTTCTTAAAGACGACAGCTTTGGAAGTAGAGGAGGGCTTTGTAAAGTCAACGGTAAGTTCTAGCATATATTAAACATATTTTCCTTTATGGCTGTATCCCTATGTTCTTCTTGGATGGCAAAAAGTTTAAGCTACTCATCGGTCAGTAATAATTGTGATTGTGCAGAGTAGATCCGTAAAATACCTCAAAACTGTATTAAAGATATTGTCCTGCCTTCCTTGTAAATAGTTTCTACGCCATATTTGAGGACGAAGGAGTCTAGCTAATGTTTTTCTACTTCTAATACTTAGTGAATTACCTTGGAAAAGTCAACTTCTATTAATTTTAATATTTCTTCTGTTGACATTTTGGTAATTTTGCATGTTTTGGAACTTTTCCATAGTTTATTCAAACTGGATCGTTTGTCCAGAAACGTATCGTCAAATATGTTAAGAGTGTAAAACACATGCTTTGTGAATTCTCGAGAGAGTGTAGGTCTTGGTCTATCGTCACAAATAATGGTAAAGCACACAGTTACTTCATTGCTTAAAACGATTTCCTAAATCAATCTATAAAAAGGTAATATTTTTCGTAGATCAGGCACAAACGATACTGTTCAGTCGATTGTGTAACTATGTTATTTGTGGAATTTCTCCATTTATAAATCCATTCGTTATAGTTAACGATCATCAAAGATACAGGTTGTCAAAAAATATAAATACATATAGATAATTGATATAGTTTAACGACCGGACCGGTAAATTAGTTTCGCATTCAAATAAAATCCGTGAATAAATGTCTAGTGTATTCAAAATCTTACATTTAATTACATGTGATTTCAACGATTGCAACGATTTTACTAGATTTCAAAATGGAGCAATATATTCTATTAAACCTAGTAGGTAACTCAATAAAAGATATGTAACCTACATTATTCGCTGTAATTTTGTTGCTTAGACAATTAATATGAATATTATGTAAATAACTAACTCTAAATAATCCACAAATTTATTAGAATGACCAAGGACATAGAGTGCCATCTGTGTTCGTCCTCTCATGTTTTCAAAGAGGTGTGTAAATGTGGATACAATTTCTACAGTTTGCTCTTATTATTTTTATTGTAAATTTCAGAGTTATATTATTTAAGGGATACTCAAGAGATATAGATATTTTGTGAATTGTGTACAATTACTTGTAAGATGCAAATGTTTTTACTTGTTACGTTAGCATCGAAAAATAAGTTTCTTCATTATTATTTAGAAAATATATTTTAGTAGCTATTGAAATCCAGCGCAATGATCTAGCTTGAAAATACATACGCTTAGTATTCAATGTTAAGATTAAGTTTTTGCTGTTAAAAATATAATTTAAGATTTTCCTTTATAACCGTAAAGGATTTTCAGTTTTCTTACACGGTTTGCTACTTAAAGTAGGCTAAACGGTTAATTATGTAATCAATGTATATTCAGCATGTTAAGAGTTGAAGTTTAAGGTTTAAAATATATTTTATCGAGTAATTGTTACTGTATGTACAATCGTGAGAACTTTTTATTTTATTTTTGGTGAATTTTGATATTTACAGGTGCTAGTATTCATGTTATACTAATTATAATTGGATCATAGAAATAAAAACTATTTTAAAAGGGGCAGTTGTAAATAAAAATGTACTGTACTTCAAGCATCTTCTCGAGATTAAAGTAATTTAATGTATGTGTTGAAATATTACGTAAATTACAATGCAATGTATAATGTGCACATAAATTGTAAAGCATACTAACAAATTGCTGTGAACAATAAGATAACATAATGTTTTTGGTGTTTTCAAGGGTAGTATGTAATGTGAGTTGTAATTCTACTAACATTGTTTTGGTCATATTTGTAGACTGAGCTACTGACACTGTAAATCTTTTTGTTTCATCTGACAATGTTGTATATTCCCCCAATCAAAAGTACATTGTTCATCAATATAAAATAACAATTTCTAACATGATGACCTAACAGGATAAACTTAGACCTCACGTTATAAAAGGGGTTATATAGGAGTGTACATTAAGTCCAGGTTGGTTTTATGTATATAAACAATTTGTGAAAATGTGTAGGTTCCTATTCAGGAAATAGACGCGTATAAGAAATGTCTGGCTCGGGTTTTTCGTAATTTTTCACTTGGTTGTATACATTTTTTTAGTAAAATCGAAAAGTAGTGAGCGTAAAGTATTATTCAAATCAAGTTAAACTTAAAAAGGGCGCCGCCTTGCATGCTAAAGGACCTGTAGTTCTGGTTTTTAGTATGTTGTTAGGACCTAAACGACAAGTAAGAAGAAACCAAGTTTGCAGCTTCGAAAGACCTGTGCTACCGGAAGTGCCCCTGACAAAAAATGTTGCCTTACCTTTCTAGACTGGATAAAATTTGTCAAAGTCTAAGATGATAATGACTCAAATACGTCCATTATTATAGAATATACAATAATTTAAAAACTATTCAAATTTTTCAAACTAGATAAAAAAAATACGTCATGGTATATTATTTTGTGTCATATTGTTAATGATAGATAGTATGAGTGATTAGTTTTTACAAAATAAAAGAGATGAAAAACAATTGATGGTTTATTAACATGGTTGAGAACAAAAACTGATAAAAAGTAAACAAAAAAGTAAATAGATCATAACAATTAATAACATATGATTTTATCCTCAAATGGCAGGCAGTTGATAGTATACATAGAGTAGGTACTTCTAACATACTCCCCCCCAAATTGCAACAGGGAACTGGGCAATTTTATTCTGTGACAGGAAGAGAGCACAATTTTGCTATTGGTCTTTTGAGTATTCCAGTAGCTGTCTTCAGTGTTACCACGCGAATGAGATTGTCAAGCCCAGGATGAACTTCTATGACCTTTGCTAAAGGCCATTTTGATGGAGGATATTGTTCGTCAATAATAAGGACTACTGATCCTACTTTAAGTTGTGTGTTTGGAAATCTCCATTTATAAATTGTCTGCAGTTGCTGAAGATATTCCCTTGACCATCTTTTCCAGAAACTTTGTAACATTTGCTGCAACAACTGCCATCTTGAAAGTCTATTTGTTGGTACTTCCTTGAGGTCTGGTTCTGGTATTGTAGATAGTGATGAACCAACAAGAAAATGTGCAGGAGTCAATGTAGATAGGTCATCAGGATCATCAGTCAATTTGCAGAGAGATCTCGAATTCAAAACCGCTTCGATTTGTGTTATGACCTCTTGACATTCGTCAATAGTGTCAGCACCCCCAAATATGTCATCAACATATCTTCCTTTTGAAAGAACAGATGCCCCTACAGGATATTGATTCCCATGGTCGATTACAAGTTGATTCATTGTTCTCAATGCTAGAAAGGGAGCACATGATAAACCATAAGTTACGGTTTTCAACTGATATGTACAAAGTTGTTCATTGTCGTACCATAAGATTCTTTGTAAGTCCCAGTCATCTGGATGAACCATAATCTGCCGATACATTTTTTCAATGTCTGCAGAGAAGACGTACTTGAATTGTCTGAACCAAATTAAGACATCAGATAAATTAGTTTGCAACTTTTCCCCAGTATGAAGGATATCGTTTAGAGATTTACCCGTAGAAGAACGCTGTGATCCATTGAAAACCACCCTTAGTTTTGTGGTTGAACTGGTATCCCGAAGGACGCCATGATGAGGTAAGTAAAATGTTGGAGTATTTACTACAGAATCACTTCCTACTTTTGACATATGATCAAGTGATTCATATTCTGAGATGAAGTTAGAATACAGTTTGTGATAGTTAGGATCAGTAACAAAACGTTTTTTCATTGAGTTCAATACATTGAGAGCAGATGTTCGAGAATTCCCTAGATTTTCAGCAGACTCTTTTAGAGGAAGTTTAACAACATACCTTCCAGTTTCAGTCCTAGAGTGCGTTGATTGAAAGTGTTCTTCACACGTTTGATTTTCAAGAGATAAAACCTGAACTGGATCTTTAGCAAAATCCTCCTGTTCCCAAAACTTCTGAAGTAAATCATCTACTTTGTTCTCCAGTAGGCAATGATACATTGATGATTTATTGTCATTGATGAAAAGTCCACACGGCCCAGATAACACCCAACCAAAGATGGTTGATTGAGCGATAGGAGATAGAGGCGGACCCTTGATAAGTCCAGGAAGAATGATACTTCCATAAACATCAGCTCCAAGTATCAAATCTACAGATCCAGGGGTCATGAAATCTTGATCAGCTAGTTGAAGCTTCTTGATATGATGCCAGTTAGATTTACCTGGTGTCATAGTAGGTAACTTATCAGTGAGTTTTGGCAGAATATGAGCTCTTAACGGACAGATGAATTTGTCATTAGATGGACTCCCAATGTTAATGGACACTACTCCACGAGTAGTTGATGTTTGATTTCCTCCGATACCGATAAGAGAGAGTGAGGATGAGGAGCGTTCAATATGAAGAGTCTGCACTAGATGCTCGCTGATAAAGGAAATTTCGGAGCCTTGGTCTATTAGAGCTCTACATACAATGTTGTTACCTTTCGGGCTGATTACTCTAACTTGAGCAGTAGCTAAAAGAACTGTGTGTCGATTTACAGTGGGAA